TTTATGAAACTTTGAACATATAAATTGGAAAAATATGGAGCATAACTCACATTTTGATAAGACATAGATTTGTTTGCGTCTTTTAATACTCTTATATTTAAAAAAAAAATATCCACACTTATGCCTTGGAATATACTGGAAATATAGGAAAATACCATGGAAAAAAATATGAAAATTTTACTTTTTTCTGCGTGCCATCTTTAGTATTGTTATCAATTTGAGTTTTAACTGGAAATATTAAATATTTATATTAATTTTGCTCTCTTTAAAATTTTTTTTAATATTTGTCCTGGCCCAGAAGAATAAATAATTTTTTTTTTTACTTTGTAATTGTTTACAACAATATTTTGTTTTATCACCACGGTCTTGATATATTATATAATAATCTTATCAAGTGGCCTTCGTGAGTCATGAACTCATTCTCGCATTAACTCGCTCGCAATAAAGCCGCAGTTTATGTGTTTGCAACGTCTCGATCTTGATTCTTTCTCATGTCGCGCGAGCTCATAAATCTGTCCGTGGACCGATCATGCGCGCCGATCGCGTTCAATTACAGCATCCGCGAAATGCGCGACCAACAAGTCATTGTCGGGCGATTTTTCACTCGCCTCTCGCTCGCCCGCTGCTCTTTCGTCTCTCTTTGAACGACGGCCAAAATATTTTTGCATAAGAATAGAATCATCGGAGGGTTGAAATGGCCGCTGTCGATGTGTGTATTTATGTACCTGCACGCGTCCAGCAGCAGCGCCGGTAATGATGCGACTTGTTGAAAGAATGACCCCCGCCACAAAAATACACGAACTTTTCAAGCAGAGAATCATTTTGCGCGTACTTTGCGTTTTGAGCAAAGTGTCGATTGCTCACGAGCGCATCCGCTTCTCACACATGCACTGGAATTTCTCTTTCTGCCGTGTATTCAGACAAGGCGAAGAGGAAAGTCAAAACGAGCTGACGAAGGCTCAACTCAGACTAAAGACTTTTTGTTGAATAATGAATTGTTTGGTGTGAGATTTAAGATGGAAAAATTATGCACATCTGTTATATTTCCTGCGTAATTAATTTGTAACTTTATTCAAGTGAAATATTTGAAAAATTGTTCAAATATATGTATGTTTCAAACAGAATTCTTAAACTTACAATAAAACATGATACATATTATTTAGAAAAGATAATATAAATCAAATTAAAGTATTAAACATTAATATGTTATAATGCCATTTTTTTGCAAGTGTATTAAATTTTTGATTGTTTTTTTTAAAGAAAGGCTTCATAAACTTTTTTCTCATTAAGAATATTATTCTCATAGAAACCCCCTTTATTAGCACTTATTTGGGATGTCATAAACGTTGGAAATTTTATATTAATATCCATAATTATACAATTTTAAATGAAAATTAAATTCTTCCTTCGTTCTCTTTAAAATTTTCACAATTTGTCAAATTTGCTTGATGTTTTTTTTATGCTGGTTTTCACAAAAAATTTACAATTTTTTATTCAACTTATTATATTTTAGACAATGATTATCAGAAGAAGAAAATATTGGATATTGGTTTTTAAATTCACGAAATAATTTTAAATTAACCATTTTTCCAATATTATGTTATTTACTATGACCAAGGTGTATGAAATAAGAACGTCTTGTAAAATTTCTACTGGAAATCTGATAGACTGAATGTTTGTCTTAAAAGGTAAATAACCGTCAGCGTGATTGCGAGACAAACAATAATTAATTGCTCCTGGACGTGATGCAAAACTCGTTTGGCATCTGATCATTCCATCTTCAACACGATGCTGCTGCATTATAATTTACGCCTAATTACACGTCTTGCATGTTCGTAGAAGGAGAGGCGCGATAAAAACAATGATCATTTTATGAAGAATCTCAGCATCTCCAGCCGCCGATGCAAAAAAAAAAATACACATGTTGATCTTCGCAAGGTCGGCGCATCAAGAAGCTGAAAGTATTTATTACCGTGACTAGGCGTTTCCGCTTTTTCTCTCTTTCATAATAATTCGAATTTAATTTTCCCGTTCCACCTTCCCTAGTGGTTTTATTTCATATCATGCAATAATTATGATGTGCGTCTCGGGTGTCCACGTGCAAAAGATGATGACTCTGGCCTTTTCATACGCATGCTCATTCATGTATGTTGGAGGCCTTTTCGCCGAGCACTCGACTGAAGTGAAGAGCTCCTTATGCTCTGGGTCGCGGGTGGAGGGAGGAGGATTTTTGCTGCCAGCTTTATTTATATTTTTTGCACAATTCGCAACACGTCGTAAAGTCTCGCAGCTCATTTCGAGGTTCGCAAACAGTATCGCCGAGGTTGTTTGCGAGAGAGCATAGAGTGCAGTTGCGTTTCAATCTTCCTTCATAATGGACGTGTTTCGCTACAGGAGAAGCATTTATGCCCTTGTTGACCCTGGAAATAAGGAAATGGTGAGAGAACTTCCGTGTTAAAATGAAAATGAAACAAGAGACGCTTGAAATTAACAAACTTAAAATTTTAAATTAAATATTTTTTCAAATTCAAATATTAACCCCAAGAAGAATGGATTCTTCCAAAATAAATTATTCCCCTTTTGAATTTTCTTATTTCTTTCAAATTGGTTAACTTTGCTAAATTCTTCAAACAAATGAAAACCTGCATTTTGTACAAAGGCAATATTTAATTCTTTTATAGTAAAAAAAAAACAAATCTGTGAGAAATGTGCAATTTTTTTTTTAATTTTCCATGAAAAGCTGCTCAATTGCATCCTTCTTGTTAAAATCCACAAGACTTCAAGTTTTATGTAAACATTTATAGTTTTCCAGATTTACTGTTGAAATAAGTGTTGTTTATTAAATTTTTTGCGCTGTATCGATTCTCAATCGATTGTAAAAAAAATCCACTCTTTAACTGCCACACTCGGTTAAAAACTCTGTGTCATTTTTACCACGAAGGAATTGATGAATATTGCTAAAATTCACATAAAGCTTGTCTATGAAAAAAAAAATGGTTCTTAATCAATTTAAAACTACCATTCTTTTAGGTCATTAAAAAATATCTTGAAGAAGAATTGACCGAAAAAAGTTTCACACCAAAAGCCAAAGTAAAGGTCTAAATTTTCCCCACTTATAAGAGCATTTGTGATGAATCCGCCTTTGTGAATATTAATAAGCCAAGTCTGTAGCTTTAAAAGAAGCGTGAGACGGCGTGCACATGAAAAATTCAGGCGCCCATCACGCTGCTTGTTCTTTTTCGCAATACAAAAGGCAAAGGGTCCTTTCCGAGAAACCGGCCGGAGAGGGTGGAAGGAGGAACTAAATAAATAATGGCCATCGAGCGTGCGATGCAATCGATCAGAACGCATTTTCCCGTCGTGGGGCCGCGCCGAGTCCATCACTCTCTGTTTTGTTCTTCCAGCCTAATTTCGTATGTATATTTCATAGAGAGAGGCAAGAAAAGTTTCGGGCCTGAATAATTCAGCACCGCCTCTTCTAATTTTAATCCCCTCCGAGAGACCCTTATTTTACATTAATGTGCAGCCTTGTGTTTGACTTGTGCGCTTCTTTTACGCGTCAAATTTGTATTATTTGCGCGATCTCCGGCAGCAGCCCCCGCCTGAATTATTGACGCGAGAACCTGCAAGTCAAACATTATGAATCGAGAGCGGCACGCGACCCCCCGCGCCTGCCTGTCTCGCCCTTTTGATTAATTAGCAGTCCATTACCAACCCTCGCCTGCCACTAACCAATGAATTGGTGGTGCTCCAGCTGAATGATTGAGATGTCGAAACGTGTTGGTTTTGCGGCTTAAGAAAAAAAGAATGAGCATAATTATTAATTAATGTGTACAAGTAAAATCAGCTGAAGGTTTTGTTCCTGTTGGAAAAAAATATTTTAAAAACAAATATTTTATGTATTCCGATTTGGTTAAGAGTTAAAAGATTTTCAACCTGATGAATATGTAATTTTTATGAACTTCATGTTTTAATATTTTTTGACAATCTAAAAACCACATTTTAAGTACATTATTCAAAATATGCCTGAAATCATATTTTTTGTCACATTTCTTTTTCTTTTAATAATATCAACGATTAATCACATGATTAATAAATAGATATTTTGATCATTTATTCAGACATGAATCTTAAATTATGATACCAAGAACAGAGCGAAGCAATTAAGTATCCTAATATTCACATTAATGCGTGATTAAATGCGATTCCTAAGTATTATACCTTGTTGAAATAATATATTTTTTTATTTACATATTAAGCTTTTTAGGGTAAAAAATTAAATAACATTCAGTTCAAAAACAAAATTCAAATAAATTTTTTTTAATCTTTTTAATGTTTAAATAAAAATATATAAATAAATAAAACATTCTAAAGTTGTGTTTAATTCAGTTTAAATGAGGAATTGCGAGACAATAAATAAATTAAAATTTATTTTAAAAGGTATAAAACAAATTTATCGTGCTGTTTAAACTGTTATAGTAAGATGATAACAGTTATTCCACATTCCTTTATACACTTATTTTTCTCCTTAAAACTCAAAGAAAGTTTGAAAAAAAAATCCACTTCTCTAAACATGATTCTCAAATTTTTCCCTTCACTTATTTGATTATTAAATTTGTTTCATTTTGAAGGGGCAAAGGTCAAAAGTCTTTTAATCATTTTTCATCTTAAATTTGTTTATCCCAAATTGCGCCTTTGATGGAGCGCTCGGCAGAAGAACAAAGTCGACGGACGAAACACCAGTTCTCCGCCATCTCCAAACCTTTGAAGATAGAGAAAGCCTCTTTTATTATAAATGACGCTTGAAAGCTTCAAAGGAGTCTTTAAGGAATTAACATTTTCGTCAAAACATATTTTCACAAAAGCCTTACTCAGCAAATGAAAAAAAAAATGCAATTCCCAATTAGATGCAAAAGAGCAAAAACGCTCTCATTAAATTTCCCTTCTAAATTAATTTGAAAATAAAAAATATAATTAAATTTTCTGCTTTTGTGTTTCAGATGCATCACCCAATTCAAATGAAGCCTGCGGATAGTGAAAATAGAAATGGTGAGTACAGAAAACAACCCTTCTTGGGTGAATTAATAGCTGGCCGGGAGAAATTCATTAAATCGTCGCCGGCCTCCTTCTCGTAACTTTAATTGGAAGCAGTCTGGACCGAATTAATCTTCCTAATTGAGGCTTTTCGCTTCCCTTTGTCGCCCATTAGAAAATAAAACAATCTCGGCGAGTGCGTGCGAATCGTCTCTTGGCCGCGGGCCATCTTGGTAATTTAGAGCACGGAGACAAAATCGCTGCTCGCACATACAATAAGCGACTTACCCCCTCGAGTACAAGCACTTTTATTATAAGAAGGACATCCTCGTGTCGCGTTTGATTCTCTCTGATTCGCCGCTTGAATTGTAGACTTGATTCTCAATTTTTTTTCCTCGTCGGCGTGTTGGGTTCGAAGAGCAGTGCCAAAATTTGTGCGTCGGTTTTTACGTTGGTTGGCGCGAGTTAATTATCTCTGAAATAGTGGGCAGTGGACCACCGCCGAGGAAACAAATGGGGAAACGAGCCGCATCACCGAGAAAAGTGAAATGTTAGCGGCCCATTCATTCATCGACGGCGGCGCCAAATTTACACACCAGACCAGACGTTTTATATACATTAACTTGCTTTGAAAAATTATTTACGACTTTTAAATTGCCGACAGAGTTAATTTGATTTTTAATGCATTTTTTAACCCGTCGCACATCAAATGCGAGTTTGAAAAGAAAGGGTTCACAGCACGCGACAAGTTGCTAGACTTTTTGTCGCTCGCTCTGACATTTTTGTGTTTTGAGTTGTGGGCTCATTGGGGCGCGCGTGTATTTTTAGGCCGGGTGAGTGAGACAATGAAGGAAAACGCCGCGCTTCTTTCTCTCGTGCTGTGCCACAAATTTCAGGCTAATGGACCGACCTCTGGTATGGATAATTGGATTACGCGGACGTAGAAATAGCGTATGACAATTACACAATTATATGGTGGCTGAAAGTCCCAATGGGTAAATTTTCTTTATAAAAGAATGCGATACAAAGAAAATAAAATAATGTTTACTTTAAATATATTTCAATTAATATTTTACATCATATTAATTTATTATAAAATATTATTAAAGATTACTAAATTTCATATTTTTTACTATTCAACTTTTATAATTGTGTTTGTAAAGAAATTTTGTTTTGAACTATAATATGGTGTACAACATAAAAATTAAAAGTAAGTGTTACTTTTAACTGCGCAAAAAAAAATTATATTAAAACTTAAATCGAATCTATGTATTTCAATGTTTTTTCTTAATGAATCCTATTGTCGCAGTTTATGTAGCTATTGCAGATGTTATCACGAATTAATAGATTTATAAATCATTAAATTATGTACACACAAATAGCATTACCACTGATGGCAATTCAAATGACTGATCTGGTCCCAGGCTAACTTCACCTGCCACGAAATTTAAATAGCAAAGTAAATTAGTCTGAGGCATGTAAGGCACTCATTGACATTTAGTATAGCTAGAAACAAATATATCAAATAATTGGATGTAAAACCCAAATATTTTGAAGCTTGTCTATTACTTAAATATTAGAATTACTAGTAAACTCAAATATAAGTCATCAAGGGTAATCTAATTATTCTTCACCCAAATATAACCAGGCAAAGTTGGAAAAAATACAACAAAATTTATTTATATTTAACAAAAAAGCAAAGTGGCCAATTTCGTTTCAAATATAAAATCATGCGAGTCCAGCAAATTAGTTTTGGAATTGGCTCTAAAACTGTGTGTGCCCCCGGCCCATATCGTAAAATGTGCATTCCGCAAATGCGCACCATTAGCCGGCGGGGCGGTCGGTCGGGCTGGACCTACTATGTATGTATATGTGATTTGCGGAAAAAAAGAACAAGGGCCCAATATCGCGCGGTCGACGTTTAATGGCTCCCTAAAAATAAACTGCACACACATACACAGGCCATGCAGCATTATTGGACTATCGGGCGAGTGCCTGGGCGAGAAGAAGAAGAAGAAAGGGTTCTGGTCTCTTTATTGTGTTCGGGGAAGTCAAGAGACGTACGTTCGGCCCTTCGAATTGCTGTGTTGCATGCCATCGCACTGCTTCTTCTTGCGCGTATTTGCTATTTTAATTCTGAGCCGCCACCACTCGTTCTCTCGCCTGCTCACTTGGCATTTTCCCCCGACGGCACGCAATTCGCAGATTACTTTAATTAGACGCGCGCCAAGTGCAGCGATCGCTATACGAGACCTCCCTTCGAAGCCGATTTAATAATAGCTGACCGCACCGGCTGAAGGGGATTTATTGAATGTTGATTTCTATGTGTTATTTTACACGCACGAGAAAGAGAGAAATGAGCTCGAATGCCGCTGAAAAAAGCGGCTTTTGTTTACAACACAACAGAGGCCAAACTTATCTGCAAGAAATTCTTTTGTTATTGTTGTGGGCTCTATTTTTAGGCGGAAAAATTCAGAAATGAATTTTCACTGACCCAGAAACAGTAAATGGGAAACAGAGAGAATTGAATAAATTTCAAAACTTTTGACTTTCAAATATTGGTGAAATTTAAGGATATTAAAAAATTAATTAATTCTTTTTATTAAATACCAACGGTATACAGACACATACATGAATATTAATTGTTTATGCATATAATAATAGTAAAAACTGAAGAGGTAGTAATTGCACTAAACTTTCATAGAAGCTGCTTTAGTTAGTGTTAAGTCACTCTTTTTACATTCGAATAGGTGATACATTCCAATTTGTTCACCACATTTTAGTTTTAGAAATTTGTTTATTGGGTTCAAAAACTGAACATTTACAGTTTTTGTTTGCTGCACAGTGGTAATCTTTATTTTCACATAACAAATGATGAAAACCATGGCAAGCATACCTCGTAAAAAGGTGCCGATCTTTAAAATATAAAATATTTTCTCCTTTATTTCAACGAATGTTGAATTTAAATGGTATTTGCTTTTTCAAATTTTAATTTTGCTGAATAAATAGAATTTATGACTTTTAAATTGTGAACGCCTGAAGGTTCGCAACCTTGCCTGACATCAGTGTGCAGCACTCGGTATTTTTTCAGGGGCCATGAACTGCACAAAATAAATATTCCCGAACTGATATTTGGGTTTATTTTCACAGGCGCACGTTATGGAGTGAGGGAGCCATTTCACCTCGTGCTCTCCTCTTATTTTTCCTCATGTATATTTTCTCGTGCAGAAAAACGCGGCGGTGTCTGCTGTCAGAAGAATTTCCACCTCCGTTCACATCAGCCTAAATGTACGTCTGGGAAACGGGTCGTTTTCGCCGAAACTTATATCAGCAAAGTGCGCCGGGCGAAAAAAGACTGATGGTCTCGTATATATATACCGCCGGTGTTTATCCAAGGAGGCAAAAAAATAACACACACGCACGCACGGCGAAGATTAAAAATCGGCGGAAAAGAAGAGCAAAAGCGTGCGCCCACGTCGGCGGCCCGATTAATGGAGCGTGCGTCAGTCACAAAAACGGTCTCTCACGTGAGAGATATGGCATGACTGTTTACACTATCACATCCTAAGCAAGTTTTTCCCTCCAGTGCATGGTTTAGAGAAACAGACAGTGGCCTCGCTATAAATACCCCTGACTGCGTTCGTTCGGGACGCGCCTCCTCGCGCGTTCGAGACAAAAACCATCTCTCTCTCTCTCTCTCTCGGCCGCGCCAAAGCAAATCAAACAAATAATGAGCCCCGCTGGAGCATCCCGCACCACCAGATTGTCTCGCTGAATAAATAAAGGATCACAACGCCGCTCCGAGTAATGCACTTTCTGATCGTCCGGTGGAGGCGTGGGTCTGTGTTTGCTCGGCCGATGAGACTCGCTCGGGGGGTTGCAGATCGTAAACTAAAGGCGCAAACGAAAGCGAGTTCCGAAACATTGGCTTGCGGTTCATAAACTCAAATAGACATTTGTTCTATTGAAAAACTGAAAGTTCAAACTATATGTAAAACTAAATTGTGTGTGATTTTTTTCAAGTGAGACAAATGTTATAAATTGTCAATTGATTATATTATAACAACAAAATAACAATCTTCTGATCCAAATTTAAATGCCAAGACTTTTCATTTTTAAGCTAGAAAATTTCTCAAAAGATACTAAATATGTGTTAAATGTTTCTTTAGTTATAAAGAACCTTATTTGGTCAAGAAAACACAATTTTTTCATATTGACTGTTATAAGTTGAACTCCCTAACCAACAACTACAGAATATAAAAATTGCAAATGAAAATCAAAGAATACATTTAGCTCAAAAACCAAACTTAAAGAGAATTTTAATTGTGACTTTTTTAAATAAAAATCTCTTCCAGCTTAATGAAACCTTATGTGTTTGCGCAAAAATAAGAAAATCTTCCTTAAAATTAATAAAGGTTCATACTTATTTTCAGTAACCCGAGATGGATTCTGAAGTGATTCTGCCCATTTTTACCCTTGGTCGTCTCTTTCCCTCTCTCTATTTGAACTAATCGCTGTGCAAACCCTTCCATATCGGTTTACTATGCGAAGGATGAGGGCCATTAATCATCGATCGAACTGCGAACTTTTCAACAACCCCGCCTCACATTCGATGATTCGCCCCCGCCACATTTTGTGCGTTTTAATCACGCTATACGGCATGAAATATTGACTTTTTCAAAGAAAGGCTGGATTAAAAAAACAAAAAACACAGATGTTGGACAGTGACTGCAGATTAAAGTAAGCTCCTGAACATTTGCATTGTTCCCCTTTAATAAACAAATAACACTCTCATTACGATGCTAATTTCCAGCGATTATTTGGCCGAGGCTATTTCAGGGCGTGCGTTTATTTTCGGCACACGTGGACCGTTTTAAAGCAGCGTCATTTCTATGGTTTCCCGATTATTCTACTAAGCACGTCAAACACAATTTCGGCACATTCTTCACGCAAAAGCCAGCGAACTTTGCCTTCTTCGGTCCTCCTATATATGCATGGAAAAATTCTTTTCTTAA